CCCCAAAACCCCAAAACCCCAAAACCCCAAAACCCCTAATAAAATTCAACTTTAGAAATATTGTTAAAAATGGCTTACCACGAAATATTTGACTTGTACTCACTTTTATTTCTGATATTTTAGAGCATTACAGAAGAATTATAAGAAGAAAAATTCAGTGCTGTCTCCTGCATTTGATCCATTGACTTCAGTGGGGTCGTATGCGAGTATTTTAAGGAGCAAGGATAGGTCACAGGAGAGGATTTAGTAAGGGAGAGGTGATTTATGTGTAGTAATTAGGATGAAGGAAAAGTTTGAGAAGCGTTTGAAGAGGGGTAATTTTAGCCAGCCCAAGAGGAGGGGTAGTGTGTTGAAGGAGAGGAAGAAAAGTGATGAGATAGTGGGTAAGTTTTTATAGGTTTTATAAGTATTTATTTATATAGATTATAATGAGGTTTTAAATGAACAGATTCTTAACATTAACCCTCTTAACACAATCTCAAAAGAAGATGAAAACTATAACCCAAAACTAAGTCGATGCGATAGCCGAGAGAGTATAGACAAGCCATACTCTCTGTCAAAGCCTATATACTACCCAACACAGCCAATCTTGGATCTAAACCAACCCAATTTCCAGCTCCCTCGACTCAAAAGTACCCTCATCCTTCACCTCTAGACCCTTCTCTAATCCCCCGTTCCTTCACTAAGACCGAGAAGAAAGCAGAAACTATGCCTTTCCCTTCCAAAGGCGCCTGCTCACCCAATTCAAAATCCCATATATTATCTCGCAAACAAATTCTAAAAGCTCTGCACAAGTCTCACCTGAAGTCAGTCTCTTTGCGGACAATCTTGACGCCCAAGCAGATACAATCTATTAAGATAACTCCGACTGCCAATAATCCTAGCAAAGATAAATCTAAGTCTCCAAAATAAGCAACAAAAAAGGAAGATTATTCCTGTAAATCTGATAGAAAAATCTGGGGCTTTAGGCTCTTTGGCATCAAGAAAAAATCATAGCATGGTTAAGAATAACTCTTTAAAGAAAATCAAAGTAGGTAGCAAAGAAAGGTATAAGAACACAATAAAGCTTTAGAATCAGCAAGAAGACATTACCAGAAATAGCTTCTGGCAATAAAAAGATAGTCTCCCTGAGAGATTTCGAAGGCAAAAATTCCTTTAGATTCAGAGATTTTGAAAAAGAAAAGTCTGCTCGAGCTAGAAAAGAGTAAAGGTTGCTTTAATCCTACTTTAGGTTGAAATAGCCAAAAGAAAATGCCTATAAATTTATTCTTTAGTAAGTTTAACTTTCATGCAGCAAATCGGGTTTAAACGTTAGAGATTCATTTAATCACTAAAATTTTAGACCAAGTTTCGAAAGTGAAACTATACAACAAGAAGAACCATACAATTAAAAGAAAGAGGGAGAAGCCAAATATGGTCAACGTGAGTATCCCGAACCAGCAAGAGATGGCTAAAATGTAACCTAACTCCTTCCGGACTAACCTCAATTCTAGTTTGGACAAATCGCAAGAGCGGCAGAATTTCCTGAAGAAGACCCATGTCTCCGTAGGTACCATCCTTGAATATGGCAAGTTATCATAAGTCTGCCTCCCCCATTCTGAGCTGTTGTGCATTACCATAATAAAATTTAAGCTAATTCAGTTATGAGACCACACGGAGGGGTTTTGGGGTTTTGGGGTTTTGGGGTTTTGGGG